TGATAGCAGCTAATTTTACCCTTATTTGGCTCCTAGAACTTCACCCTTATTAGACGATATTGATCGACCTTTATAGCTCCTCATTGTCTTCTAGTTCAGACTTTTTAATTAGGCATCTTTTTGTTACTAATTCAGGCAGCTTAGCTGGTATCTGTAGAGATATGCCCAGCGATCGTCGAATTTCTCACCCGTCAACAAACAAAAGGTATCCAAGAGCAAATAGCTGACAAGACCGGGATCAAGTGGTTTGAAGCTAGTAGGACTTTCATGATGTCAGGACGCTTGAAACAAGTGGAAATGTCACGTGGTTATCTACTGCAAGCTATTGTTCAATGTGGTGGCATAGCAAATAAGAACAAGATGAAGAGTACCCTTTCAAAACTTCAGAATTTAAGAAATGAAGATGCTGACCGGAATGACAGCGAAAGAGCAAAGGATGTGAGTCCATCAGAGTTTCCCAGAAATCTTTCTGAGAAATTACAGTTACTTCTTAAAGAAACTCAACAAGAAAAATCGGACCTACAAAAACAGTTGAGCCAACAGCAAAAGTCTCGTTCTGAACTGGAAGAAAGATTGAAAACCGAACAAGTATCAAGTCAATCTCTCCAACTCCAGCTCGAAGCAAATGAGCTCTCTATTAGAGAACTACGACTTGAAGTTGAAGAGGGGCGTCGACAGAAGACAGCTTTGGAGGAAACAGTAAGACGTCTGCAGCTTCAAATTGCAGAGGAAATGGATAGGCATGCAACCATTGAAAGGGATTTACAATTAGCCCTCTCTACAACTCAAGCGGAATTGTCAGAGCTACGAGGCAACACGCGAGACTGGATCATACTACGTGAAGAAGTTACTCTTTGCAGAAAAGTCTTAGGCAATGGAGCCTGGGGAACTGTTAGAGAGGGAACTTTTCGCGGTTCCAAAGTTGCTGTTAAAGAAATTCATGAACTAATTCTCTCTGATCACAATCGTCGACTATTTGAACGAGAAATGAACATCGCATCGCGCTGTCGCCATCCAAATCTGTTGCAGTTTATTGGCGCAACAAATAACGATGGTAGTCCATTGTTTGTAACTGAGTTACTCGATAGTTGCCTGAGGCGTTTGTTATCCGAACTAGAAATAACTCCCAAGGAAATTTTGAACCTTGCTTTAGACGTCGCTAAAGGTCTTAACTACCTCCATCTTAATAAACCGCTTCCCATCATTCATAGGGATATCAGCAGTGCAAACGTGTTGCTTTGGAGAGGAGACGATTCTTGGAGGGCTAAGTTGTCTGACTATGGAGCGGCAAACTTTATGCAAAAGTGCATGACAGCAAATCCAGGGGCTATGATTTATTCAGCACCAGAAGCTTTTACTCTAAAACAATCACCAAAGGTAAACATTTTCTGTTTAGCTTTCCCGTAGTCCGGTCGAGGGAGGGCGTTAGCACGTTTTAGTTACTCTATTGTAACAAGCTAGGTGCAATTCTACTTCCTAACCCACCATTGAAAGGTGTGAAGTTACAACTGGTGTCAGGTAATTTTTTTAAATAAATATGATCTTTGTGAAAAACTTCCACGCTGTTTGTTAGAGTTCCTATGGGTTGGTTAATAGTTTGGGTGTCGTGACTTTGACTGCCGTGAGGATGGCTACACTGGTATAAACGTATTGAACTTTTTAATTTGTCTGTTGAAATATTTTTCTTCCTAACCAGGTGGATGTTTACAGATTTGGTGTCCTATTGTGTGAGATGTGCCTCGGAGAACTACCTGATCCTCAAGGTCTTCTTAATCAGATTAAACGGGTTTCCCATGATACCTTGCGGCAGCTCACTCAGCGATGCGTGGAAAGGAAGCCTGAAAAACGCCCCACTATGGCTGAAGTACTACCTGAGTTGGAGTAATGTTAGAACCCTGTGGGAACCACTTCGAACACGCAAAAGTTAAAATGAAGTTATAAAGTAGAATTCTCCCCTTTGCAAACTGATACTTACTTCGTGAGCTGAGGCATTTTAAGGACTCTAGAAGAAGTTGTTGCAAGATGCAATAGTAAGGATATAGATGTGACGATGTCGTAGCTTTTAGAAACCTCTCTGTATGAATCTACAGAATAAGTGTGGAGATGTCACGTTATCAGTGCCAACCAAACTAAGTATTCAAATCAGTAGTAAATCAGTTTAACGTTGTGAAGCAAAACAAATCGGATTAAATCGCGCGAATTTCTAGATATTTGCACTACGTTAAAAAAAAGAAACAAAAACAAAAACAAAAACAAAAAAAAAAACCACAAACATCTTGAAAAGGGAGTTAAGAGGTTAGCCCTATGTTAAAACTCCCAAACAGAAATAGAAAATGCAAAATAAAAACATGAAATACAATTCCATCATTCAAATCATAGACGTTAATTAAAGCATGGTTCTCGTTTGAAATTTATTACTGAAGTAGGTAATGATGAAGCTTATTTTTAAAATGATAAAGGCTTTCAGCCTGTTCTATGTCTCTTGGACAATCGTTTCATGTTGGGACTATTCTGATTAAAAAAGAGTACCTATAACAATTGAGTCTTGCGCTTTTAACATACAATTTAAAGGGGTGATTCGCTCTTGTGGACCCAACTTTTGAGAATTCTAAGAAATCATAAAAATTCAAATGATAGTAATCAAAGACGAACTTGTAACAGTCAATTAAAGATAGGTAAATTCTACGATCAGATAACGACGGTCATTTCAAAAATTTACAACGGTCAAGATAAGGCTTTTCTCCTTTGCGTTGGTTAAGTGCTAATCTAGATGCCCTTCTTTGTATCATCTCGAAAGCGCGAATGTCCTTGAGGAGGTAAGGGCACCAAACGGGTACAGCGTTTTCAAGAATTGGTCGAACCAGAGATAGATACAACGTTGAGAAAACATTTACATTGATGGTGCCAACAATAATAATAATAAGGAATATTTATACAGGATAGCCCTTCAGTGCAGGAGCACTGTTATCAATGGGGTCCTGTCTAAATAACATAATATAAGGATAAAAACTAGAATAAGATAAGAATGACTACGCAACTAACTAAATACCCTATACAAAAAATTGATCTAAAGACTCCCTAGATAGTACCCTACTGCTAATTTGCTTGATTTTTAAAGGTAAAAAATTAAAAGCTGAAGCTCCTAAAAAAAAAACTTTTCCGAGCAAAGTCAAGTCTCACTTTCGGCAGAGCGAAAACATTTGATTAAACCTAATAGGTTTTTAGCTTTGTTCACAGTTATGCTAATATAGTTAGCCCATAAGAGATCTTTCGATATTGTGACGCCTAGGTCTTTGAAGCTCTACGCGTCTTTCAAATTATATCTAACATATATTGCGTAGTAGACTTGTCGCGTGTATGGCCGAGTTATACGCATGGATTTCTACTTGTCCGTATTGAACCGTAACTGCCTCTTGCGTACTCATTCCATTTATTAGTTCCAAGTGCGATTTGGAGGCCGAAGCTCCATGAAACAAGTTTTAAAATTTCCTACCGACTGACATATTACATAGTGCTACAGTCATTGGTCAGTTCAAGACTATGGATGATTGTTGTCCTTTGTTTTAGCATTGGTGACCTAATACTTTATATACTTTTTATAAATGGTTTAACAAACAATTTTTATTCAGTTAATTAGGAAAGGGGGAGGAATAACAGACTACTAGTCTCAAGATTATTCTGATAGCGTTACGTTTAAAAGCAGTCGAGTTAGTTTAAAGTGGTTGCATATACAGGGTGAAGTAACTTCTGTCTTTTGACTCTTAGTAAGCGTTACGGTAGGAATTATAATGTGATTCATCCCCTGAGACTAACAGAGAACAACTCTTCACTCTCAAATGGCTAGAATTGTAGTATTTTATTTGTAGATGAATTAGTCATTGACTGTAACAATGCATGATCCGGTTAGATTAAATCATTCATTTTCTCATAATGTCCTTCTAGCTGCCGCAGTAATGAGTAAAAACTGACGGGAATTCAGTGGTTGTAATAATGGATTCAAGAAAGGGAGTACATCGAGAAGAATAAAACTGAAAAGCTGGTCTGAGAACTCGTGGGTATCTCTCTAGCTTTCGTGACACCTTACATTTTTCCGGTGACGATATAAATCTTCAAATTACAAATTACACTGTTAGTAAAAGCTTACATTTTGCTGGTAGAGTTGCTCCAAGATTACCATGCAGACACGTTTACTCATGATATGCTCAAAACGTAATGTGGGTACTATTTTCAGAAGCCTTGTGGAGCGGTTTAGACCCATTTTCAAGTCAGCGTGTTTTCGTGTTTTCGGTAATTCAGTTTAGTGGCAGAATACAATTTATTAGCTATTTTGAAACCAAACATGTGACGGGAGGAGTGGGATGGTTTTTAATTGTTTGTTTCTTCACAAAGGAAGCAACTGCAAACATATGCTGCAAACAGAGCAATAAAACTTCAGCGACCTTCGTTGTTCGCAGTTTCCGCAATGCGGTATCTTCTCGCGGTAAGGTTCGACAATCTCCACCATCTGCTTGTAAAATAGATTGGATGTAGGGCTGTCGATGTTATTGCTTGGACATTTGGTGATCAAGCGACACGTCGGACAACTTAAACGGCTCCAACCTTGTTGTCGTGACCAACGTTGTAGACAAGATTTGCAGAAGGTGTGGAGACACATTTGAGTATTTTCGGCTCGTTGACTTCATCAAACTGTTCTTAGCATACACAACAATTTAATTCTTTCTTGACATCATCGAAGAAACTTCGACACTGCACAGCCATGGCTGCTAAAACGAAGGTATGTTCTGACCCGGAAGTGTATATTCGTGCTCAGGCCACCTTGGCTGAACATGCGTAGTGATCATGGGAAGGACTTTGATCTCAGATGGCTTTTTAATTAATTATTAGTTTATAGGCGGCAAGAATATGGTTTTCAATCATGCTTTCACCTTTCACGGCAACGGGATCTTTTTTTGAATTCTCGGAAATCACACACTCTTGTGTTTTAGGTGCGGTAAGATTGTGTTACAAGCATTCAGCTAGCCTTTCTTTTGGGAAAATATACAAACTACTTGTATAGGCGGCAAGAATATAGTTTTCATTCATGTTTTAGCCTCTCACGGTAACAGTATCTTTTTTAGAATTCTCGGTTATTATCCACTCTTGGGTTTTAGGGGAGGTGACATTGTGTTATAACCATTCAGCTAGCCTTTCTATTGACAAAATCTTCAAACTATGTAATTTGATTATATCAACAAAGTTGAAATGGTAAATCGGCCACCGTTACGATTATAAAAGCTAACGTTTCGAGCGTTAGCCCTTCGTCGGAGCGAATAGGGAAATTGCGGGTTGTATGTGCTTTAAAAGGCAGAAAAAGGAGCTACGTTATTGGTGGGAACATGGCAACGAGAAAAACACGAATAAATTAGGGGAATGAAAAGCGTTCGTTGATACCTGTGGGATTTAGACTGCCCGTTGAAAGATGAGCTTTTGTTCAAGAGTTTTCCGGCTTTCCGTGCTACCTAAGTGTAAGGAAAGACCGCAGATTGCCATGTGTTGCTTAGAATGGTTAGGTAAATTAAAATGTCTAGCGACTGGTTTCGATGTGTCCTTGTCATTCCTCTCCACGTCGCGAAGGTGTTCTCGGAATCGGTCACCTAGTCTTCTGCCTGTTTCGCCGATGTAAATCTTTTTGCAATAAGTGCAAGTTATGCAATAGATTACATTGGCGGAGGTGCACGTGAAGTGATCGGTGATCTTAATGGATCGTTTGGGTCCCGATATTTTCTCAGTGTTGTGAATGAAAGGACACGTTTTGCATCGTGCACGAGCGCATTTAAAAGTGCCTGGTTGGTCATTAGTCTGAAAAGAACTTCTGACCAAAAAATTGCCTATGTTTTTGTCGCGTTTGAATGAAATGAGCGGAGGCTGCGAAAAGATAGTGCTTGTCTCTGGATCGTTTTGAAGTAATTTAAAGTTTTTAAGAATGATGGATTTAACTGAGTGGTTGTGAGGGTGAAACGTGAGAGTGAATGGAATGCGGTCGGAATCTTCCTTATGCGACGTTTGTAGTGCTGAATGTCGATCAATAAGTTGAGCGCGGTGGTAACCCGCTTGAACGACGGAAACAGGGTAACCACGTTTATCGAAGAACTGGCACATTGACTCTGATTTGTGGTG